AACGGACAAATCTCATGTAAGGAGTGGTGCCAAATAAACACGTGGGGGAACCCTTGTTAATTCTTTATTTTAACATAGGGACTATTTTGTCACCGCTAAATAAATATCGTTTATTTCTCACTTTAATACTACCAACATAAAAAATAGAAAATAAATAGCTAATAACATTAATACATTTAATGAAATTAATATCACCCAAATTTTGTCTGTGCTATTGATTTTCATTAACGGTAATAATGTCATTACCTATTTATTATTTATTTATTTTTTATTTTTTATGTTGGTGGTATTGAACTGAAAAAAAAAAGGTATTTATTTTAGCCGATTCCTTAAAGATTACATTGGGAACTGTGCTACCAGCCCATACTTTTCGGGTAAACATCATAAAACCCCTCTGTGTTAAGGAAAACATGCGCCAAATCCCCCTTGTATTTCATTTTAAGTTAAAAGTTAACACCGTTAACTCTAGAGGTGATTTTATGCAAGTTTTTTTATAACATATGGGGGTTTGGTGCATGGTTTTGCAACATAAGGGGGTTCTACGCAAAATTAATTTATTCATTTAAAATTCAAATTATTTTATGTTCTTTTCACATATAATTAATCCATAATAAATTATAAACATAGATGATAATTCTAATAAAATAATTATATATTTTAAAAAAATCAAAATTCTTAAATATTTTAATAAATTATATCATATAAAAATTGATTTTTTTTTAAATACTCAGCACACCTATTAAATTTATATTTTTCATAAGGTAACTGAATAAATGTGTTCGACTTAATTTAAGAAAATAATGTGAAAATTTTAAATGAATAAATTAATTTTGCATAAAATCCCTTATATTGCAAAACCATGCACCAAATCCCCCTATATTATAAAAACCTTGCATAAAATTCCCTTTATAGTTAAAGGTGTTAACTTTTAAGGGAAAATGAGATTTCGTGCAATATAAAATGAAACACAAGGGAGGTTTACGCAAGCAAAAAAAAACACAGGGGGATTTGGCGCATGTTTTCCTTAACACAAGGGGTTTATGCTGTTTACCCCCATACTTTTCAGTTGCTAAGTCGTCAATTTACTATAGTAAATTTTGATAACTAAATTTTTTTATTAATTAATAATTTTAGGGTAAATTACAACCACCCCTGAGGTATAGTCAATTTAAAAAAAAAACCCTCTTGTTTGGATAATTACATTTACCCCTCAACTATGATTTTTCTTACAACTCCATCTTTATGGTGTCGAATTCAACATAACCATCTTGATTTCCTGGAATCTGTTCTAGTTTGTACTCGTTTTGTGTAAAATACAGTTTCTGATACACCACAGTCTGATATATACAAGCCAAAAAACACCCATTATGATCATCTTGCTTTAAATGTGGAGTTCGAATAAGATAAAATGGGTAGAAAAGTGATATTATTTCATATAATCTCGAAGATTCCACTAAATTTGAAACCGCAATGATGGACGTGTAAGAAGATTTATAGTTGAGGAGGTAGTTGTAATTACCTAAACAAGAGGGAGGTTTTCGTAATTTGACCATACCTCAGGGGTGGTTGTAATTTACCCATAATTTACTATATAATATCTTCAATCAATCTCGACCTAAAAATAACGTGCTAAATTCGAGAACATTATAAACTATATGCGGTATGGTATATATAAGTTAATGGCCACTTTACAAATAAACTCATTAGTGAGTACTTATTCATAAAGGGGTCCAGACAAAAAACTGTTTTATAAAAAAGTCCATACATGGTCCACATGTTTGTAAAAGACTAAATAGCTCATCACATTTCAATATGCTCCAATTTCATCCTTTAATTTAATCTAACTTCAATTTGACCCAAATTTTACAAATTATTCAATTTTGACCCAAAACACAATTTTATGGACAATTTCGTATGTCATCGCTGTCGACCGCCGATCTCCGCCGTTAACTTATTTTATTCCTGATTTTTCCGCCGGATTCCGGCGTTAACGTTTACGAATTTTTTTTTCTTCCTGATTTTTTCGCCGCCGGTCTCCGACGGTGACTTTTTCGATTTCTTTTTATTTTTTTTATTATTTTTTTTATTTTTAAATTTTTTTTCTTGAAATCTTTTTGCCCCCGTTTAAATAGGAATATTGCTGTGGTTGACAGTAATATTAACTATATTACTGTTAAACACAATAATATTAACTATACAGCAGTTGAACACACTAATATTGCTATACTAATCTCTAGCATATATAGGAATATTAACACAACAAAAGTCATTATTATTTTGTAATAGAGTAATTTTAATATGTTGACCGTTCAACAAAGGTAACCATAATAAAAAGCCAAAAAAAATAATATTACTATGGTTGACAGTAATATTACTGTAACAATAGTAATATTATCGTCAACCACAATAATATTATTGTGTTTACAGTAATATTACAATAGTAGACAGTAATATTATTACGTTAGTCCGCCAACAACTGAAACAAAACAAAAAACCCAAAAAACATAATAATATTAATGTGGTTGACAGTAATATTATTGTGTTTACAGTTATTTTATTGTCAACGACAGTAATATAAATACGTTTACTTTTCAACAAATTAAAAGAAAAAAACCTAAAAAAATAATAATATTGTCCTTGACTTTAATTGTACTGTCAAAGACAGTACAATTACGTTAATGTACTGTCAGTGACAATATAATTACTGTTAATGACAGTACAATTACTGTCAACGCTTAGCGGCGGACGTAAAAAAAGGGATAAAAACTTTATGAGTAAAAAAAAAAAAATCAACGCCGGAACCCGGCTGCGGAAAAAATAGATCATAATTTTTTTTTTTCGAAAAGTCAATGCCGGAAACCGGGGGAAAAAAATATTATTTGAAAAAAAAATCAAAATTGAATTTTTGTGGTCAAAATTGATTAAATTGGGGTTCCAATTAAGAATTGTGTGTAAAGAGTTGGGGATAATTTTGTCATATACAATATATTTTCCTTTCTTTATAATAAATATTAAAGAAATGAACTTAATGACGAAAGAGATAATAACCCCTAAAACTATAATAATAAAAATAGTTGGTCAGGTATTTATGCAAAAACCCAAAGTTAATAATTTTAGTAGACATCGAGCATTTGAGCGTTGTTTGAGAATATCGATATGATTGTTTCACATTGTTCATGATATAATACTAGATTATTCATATTTTTTTGGGTCCATTATTGTTTTGTAGGTAAACATACAGTAATGGATGAATAATAACTGAAAGTACTTGTCTAGTGACAAATTTAGTCATTCGGACTCCGTTTGATTGATTTAAGTTGGATTGCAAAGTTAGCTATAAAGCGATGTACATAAACTTTGGGTAGAGGTTTATTTTTCTCAAATGAACGTGTTGGATGTTTTTCTTCTATTTATTTTTCTTTTTTCACTTACTTCAACATATTTGGCACTTTTTTTTTTTATGGATCAACATATTTGGCACTTCAAAATCAAAGAGTAGTAATAAAAAATAGCTCAAACGGATTGAAACATTCAAATTAACTTTTTAATTTTCAATCCATCCATTAAATGGAATTTTCAAGTAATTTAAGATTTTCTTCCTTGGGTATGTACTTGAATTACATTACCAAGATGGAATCGGTCAGTCGGTCGATCGGGGTGTCCCGAAAGAGATAGTCTGGCGATTGCAGCAAGTGAATTTATGTCAATTGATCAAAATTCGAATTCCCTTGCCGATTGTCAATAGGTCAAACTTGTCACACATGATTATGACCACATATTATAAGTACGATTACAGATTTCAAACCCGATTATCTCTTCTCATCTCCATGTAACAAGATTCAATTTATTTACCAAAAAATAAATGATGATTAAAAAATAAAGAGTTTGACAATTGGGTACACGTCAGCAAAACAGCCAAATTACAAATATAGGATTGTTGCTTGACGCCTTTTCAAATAATGCAGTTGAGTACAATTTCTTTAGTAAAAGTAGTTCAAATGTAGGGTCTCTTTTATAACTTCATTGATTCGCATTAACAAACATTTGCCCGATTTTTCTTCAGATTCGCACAAAAATTCAAATCACGTGGAGTCAACTTTTTGTTCATTAACTCATAATTCTTTTTAATTATGTCGTTCGTAATTGTCAATGTTCTGAAAACTAGACCCGACATTGACCCGAACAAACTATTAGCTCATGGTTGGGTCGGTTCAATCGAGGCTCGTTTTTTTCATTTTTTTTATATTATAATCATCTATATTTAATTTTTAACGTAAATATGGCTTATAGTTTTCTTGCACACACAATAATTCATTGCTCACTGTAACTGAAATGCAAATTAAGCTTATTTTTCTTTTACAGACAATATATGCTGTGCTAGGGCTGAAGTCGAAGTATGTGAAAACACTCCATATTTAAATTTTGAAAGTTGTTGATATATATTTTTTTTAAATTTCAACTAGACAGTAAAACGACATAGTTTTAGTCATTTTGTTTGTTTTTTTTTAATTAAAACAAACAGCACCAAAAAAAATATAATTTTTAACCGGCCAAATCAGATCGAACAAGGCAGCGGTTCGCGATTTAACCGGCCGGTCCAATCCGGGCTTCAAATATAACTAGTACAATTAATTGGAAACCAGATATTAGTTATGAAATTAATAATTCAACCTAACAAACAATAAAAATTCAATATATCTATAAAAATAAAAAAATAAAAAAAATCCAATTTAAGAATAGAAAACAGCCGCTAGTTTTCATGATCTCCCCAACTACCATTTGAATTCCATAAAGTGAGAAGATAAAGAAATTATATTAGTCATCTATCACCTTACCCACCACATTCATGTACCCTCTTAATTTCCATGCCCAAATATCCCCACAAACCTTATGTATATCTTCCCAAAACCCTCCACCACTTGCTAACAAAAAACAAAAAGAAAAAATAATACTAATAACACAAGAAAGTGAACAAATATATTATAGAAGATAATTAAGCAATGGATTGGCACTCTTGGTTATCGAAAACAAATCTCGAGCCAACAATTGCGTACGAGTACGGCCAAGCATTCATTCGAAACGAGCTTCAATTTGACGACATAAACCACTTCAACCACGAGTTTCTCCAAAGCATCGGAATCTCCATAGCCAAACACCGCCTAGAGATTCTCAAGCTCGCCAGAAAGAATACAAAGGGCTTTTCGAAACTCGTGTTGGCAATGAACAAGATCACTAGAAAACTCTTCGCCGCCAAATCGGGCTTTCACGAAAAAAGCCCGCCCACATTCCGGGCCTCGGGCGGGCTATCACCTTACAATCGGAGCCAATGGAGCGGATCACTAAAGAGAGTGAATAATAACATTGGTGCAAAGGAATATTCCAATAACTATTGCAACAATCAAGATCAAAAGTACTCGAGAGATGTTAGTACTACGACGACTAATACGAGGAATGTGATGTGGTCGGGGCCTTTGGAGAGAAGGGTTTTGATGACGTCATGCAGGAGTAATAGTGTTTCCGGTCCACTTGATGGGAGGATGCAAATGTACCCGAATTGGAGCCCGATTGCTACGAGACGTATTGTGGGGCCGGGCTTTATTAGTAGAAGCCCGACTATATCCGGGCCTATTGATAGGTATGGACTAAGCCCGAAAGTCAACTACTATAACGGCGAAAAGCTTGGTTACGAATACGACGACGATGGTGGTGGTGATGGGGTTCAATCACTTTGGTCTTTGATGTTTCAAGATATGAAACCAACTTAGACGAAAAGAAAAACAAAAGCGTGTTTAGCTTCTATTAAATCAATGTGAGTAATATTTTCGAAATTTTTGGTAGATTGAATGTGTGGTGAGATGGTTTGACGCTTTTGGAGCTACCATTGTTTTGTGTTCATCTTTGGTTTGTGTTTGGTTATAATTTTTCTATAAATCTTAGTATTTTGGTTATTAAGATGAAGTGAGCATAGAGAAAAATTGATGTCAAATACCAATTATATTTTTGATATTTTATTTTAGATTTTCTTTATAATTAATTAAATTATTCAGTTAGGTTTATCTACGAATTAGGGAACCAAAGATATTATAAATTTTTATGTAATACCTAGGGAGAAAAACCCAGCAGTTGAATCATTACTGATCATATGTTTTGGTGGACGATAAATTTTTAACCGACCCATTGGATCGGAAATTTCAACTAATTTATTTATAGTGGGTCGGTTGATGTTTTCTAATATTATCAAAGTATGTTGACCGATAATTATTGATCAACTGACTATATTAATAAAATTTTACTAAAAAAGATATATATAAATGGTGTGGTACTGTGGTTGTTTTAAGTAGGTATTGGATTATCAAGATAGTTGGTGTTAAATTAAA